TTTTAAGCTAGACTTGGTACACTAAACTGAATCCATAATGATAAACACATTTAACAATCAAAGATGTAGTGTTGACAGGTTGATGCTGGATGATTGTCTAGTGCTTTTCAGTGAAGACACTGGATTTAGCCTAACAAAGACTTTCTAGTTAGCTGCTAAGTTGCACTTGTAGCAAAATCTCTCCATTCAGTGGCCATCTTGGCAACACAACCAGACAGTTATTTCCAGCCACAGACTCCTATCTCTTTGAATGGAGCAAGATTTCTAAACCTGAAACTAAAAACCACATTAAGGTTTTTGACTTGAAAATTTGACAAAAATTGCATAAATAGCGTTTGGCTCAGATATCTCCACAACGAGGGAGGACTTTTGTTGCTTGCGAATTTACCAGCAAGCCAATTAGCTCTTTTTTGTTGAAGGCTTGGACTTTCCTCACTTACAGACACCATCTTGAGCATTCAGACAAGACTTTGGTGTCCAAACTTTGCTTCTTTTGTAGTTTTTGCACTGCAGCTATGAGGCTAACAACAAGAAATGGAACCTCATACTCCACCCAATAGCATTAGGAAAACTGCATGTCTAAATCAACACACTGCCTCAAACTGAGCTGAATTGTTAAGTAATCTCACATAGACTTACTTATGTGGTTTGTGTGGTACCAGACAGTGAGCATATATTGGTCCGTTAGCTTAATAAGGTCGGCACCACACTGTTCGCCACTGATGGTCCATCCTTGGACCACCCAGATTACTGTCCTGCAAACAAGCTCTAACTAGTTTTTAGTCGTCTCAAACAGATTTTAAATGCACAGAGACTTTTATATTGGAAAATAAACTTTAGATAAACATTACAAACAACTGAGAGAGAAAATAATGACTAGGCCTAATATAAAATGATTTTATAGAAAATGTTGTTGCTGACACTGCTGGATTAAAATTATTTGCTAAACTAATTTACAAAGTATATCTAAAGAAAGGAAGGAAGGAAAAATAAGTAAACTGGACTGTAAATGGAAATGAGTGATGAAAAGTGGAATTTTGTCTATGACTCTGTACGCCCAGAAAACGCTGAGCAAAACACCAGCGGTCCACTAACTATGCCATCAGCGGGCCGACAGTCGTCAACTATCCTCTTGCTATCAAGGGTCTTATGTGGTCCGACACTGTAAGATGCAGAAATGGACAAAAGCACCTAGCCTAGCTAGGTACTTAGCTTGGAAGCATGAATTTTGCCCATTGATTTATCGATTTAACTGTATATCATACAATGTCAGAATTTCTTTTTTTGCTGAACTGTCAGTATAAGGATAATAATAAAATAACTAATGTAAATTATTCAGTAACTACTGTGAGACTAATATGTAGGCTACATGCTAACTTGATAGTTTACAAAATGTTGCTAAGCTAATAGCAAAGCTTTATCATTCAGTTCATACAGCAGAGATTTTGGAAGCAATGGGAAATTATGGACACAGTTTACACTCTTAAAAAAGATGGTTCTTCAAGGGTTCTTTATTAAAGACAGTGGTTCTATATAGAACTATAGAACTATGAACACTCCTTTACATGCTTAAATGTTTTTTTGTATTGTGAAGTGGTTCTTCAGAGTGATGGAGAATGTGTTGTATGTGGTTCTACCAAAAAGTGTTCTTTTATTGTTACAAGCTTGACGTTGTATCAATAGAAGAACGCTTTTCAAAAAGGTTCTACATAGAACCATGTGCAACACATTCTCCATATATCTGAAGAACCTTTTCACCATGCAAAGAACCATCTAAACATGTTTTCACAGTCTTAACTAAGGAACCATTGAAGAACCATCTTTTTTAGGAGTATAGGGCACAAGGTTACAGAGAAGTGCCAGGAAACTCCAGTCCTAGGGTGCCACTGCCATGACGGTTTGGTGTCCATCAGAGACACTATAAAGGAAGAGGAGAGCTTGTAACACTCAACTTGGCGTCTGTTTACAGAGAAAGTCGCGCCCTTCAGTAAAAAAGAGCTAAACCACTTGCTGGTAAAGCCCCAAGTGGGAAAGGCCCTCCCTCATCGTAGAGATAAGCCAGGTAACCAGAACAAATGTTTTTGTGTGTTATTTGAGCCAAACATTACAAACTATTTCACCAGTCATTTCAATCATGTCTTTTAAAACATTAATGTGGTTTTCACTTTCAGGTTTATAAGTCTCTTCCCATTCAAAGGCGTCTGTTTGACTGGAATTAATTGTGTGAGTATGTTTCCAACATGGCCGCTGAATGGACAGACTTTCTTTTAAGGACTTCAACTCAGCAGCCTATTACAAAGTCCTTGCTTAGTTAATCCAGTACCTTAACTGAAAAACACATGACAATCATCCAGCAACATGGTGGAACATTCTCAGCACTGCAGTGACACTGACGTGGTGGTGGAGTGTTAGTGTGTTGCGCTGGCACAAGTGGATCAGACACAGAAGTACTGCTGGAGTTTTTAAACACTGTGTCCTCTCACTGTCGACTCTATTGGTCACATCTAACTTGTTGGTCCACCTTGTAGATGTAGAGTCAGGGACAGTTACTCATCTGTTGCTGCACAGTTTGCGTTGGTCATCCTCTAGTCCTTCATCAGTGGTCACAGGACGCTATTGGCTGGATAGTTTTGGTTGGTGAACTATTCTCAGTCCAGCAGTGACACTGAGGTGTTTAAAAACTCCAGCAGCACTACTGAGTCTGATCCACTCACATCACTACTTGTGCAGTGCTGAGAATTATCCACCACCCAAATAATACCTGCTTTGTGGTGGTCCTCTGTGGTGGTCCTGTGGGGGACCACATTTGAATAGAGTATCGACTAATTCAGTTCAATGCTTATAGCATGTTTGCATCTGGTCTTCATTTAGGCTACAATTTTTACTTTTCACACTGACACATAATTCAGCGTCATCTAATCTTTAAATCTGTTCTATGTTTGACCAAAAGATGAAGCACATTAATGGTCTTTGATGGTTAAACCTGAGTCAATTGGAATCTCAGGAAAAGATGAAAGCTTGACCCAAATGTTTCTTCAGGCTTCATAGAAATCACATTTGAAACCACGACAAGAAAATCTCACGACTGCCTGGTGTGGGTTGAACACTTTTTTTCGCCACACTGTGGTCTGAATCAGCTCTGTGTAATCACTCACAAAGCTGCGTAGGTTCTGCATAGCACGCTCTGCTAACTGCTAGCACTTGCTGTTGCTTCACAGGAGCATTAACTCAATGTAGCTGTGTAGAGAAACAGCTTTGACCATACTGAAGTGTCAAAGACAACAAGCTTAAATGCCTGCTAAGCATCTGCTAAATTCCCGTACATCACACATGTAGCACTTCTTATGCCCAGATAACCACAGGGAGCTTAGTTTCCCAACAGCACCACAGCACAAAGGAAATAGCTTAAAGAGTTAGCAGAGCAAAGCTATGTAAAAGCTATAAAGGTACGAAGGTATAACTGCCCTTAAAGTCACCCTAAAATCAAAACTGACCTTATTGTCACCCTGTTATCTCATGCCCGTGGTCATATGACACACAATTCGTCATATTACTGAAAGGACAAAATACTGTTTCTGTCTAATCTTTGATCAAAGTGTAATAACTGTCTGCCCTTTTCTGATTTTTGATTACGTCACCGTGCCTCAGCAGGAGGTGACAAATGATATTTTTCTATGTTATCATCGCTCCCACTTCCCCCACGTATCAAGGAGAATGCTAGCTCAGAGTCCCTGATATCATGTTTTACTCAGAAATACGTCACAGCACAGAGTTATGATTTTTGATTGAAATTAAGATGAATGAATTTAGATGTTTTTCAGGGAAGTTTCTCATGAGAAAGTAGCTAAGTTTGAGATTATCTGAAGGCCAGTTTTAGGGCATGTTTTGAGGGTGTCACATTGTTTTCTTTGGCCACTGAAAAGCATCCTGTGGTTAAATTTCTTCATTTTACTGTCAGTAGAACTGCCAGCTCACAGTGCTAATAACAGTAACGTTCTTCATTTTACTGTCAGTAGAACTGCCAACTCAGCGTCGCTAATAAACAGTTGCTGCTAAAGATGAAGATCCTGAGTTGACATTCATAATAAGAGTGATAAAAACCATGAATAGAAAACTGAAAACAGTTATTACATTAATTATTTATTTTGTGACCTATTCTTTGCTATTTGCACTATATATATATATATATATATATATATATATATATATATAGTGCGAAGGTATAACTGCCCTTAAAGTCACCCTAAAATCAAAACTGACCTTATTGTCACCCTGTTATCTCATTGTTATCTCATATATATATATATATATATATATATATATATATATATATATATATATATATATATATATGTATATAGTGTTTTATATACCAGATCCAGAGCTGTTTCTGTCCATCCTTCTGCTGTGAGAAGACAACTCAGCACAACTCAGAGTCCAGACCTCAACATTACTGAGTGTGTTTGGGATTACGTAGATCACGAGAAGCAGAAAATGCAACCAACTTCTGAGACTGAACTGTGGAGGTGTGAAAAAATATCCCCGCAGATTGCAAAAGAACGGAAGTTGTAATAAAGTTGGTAGTTGTAATAAAGGTAAAGTGTGGACACACTAAAATATTAATAATGTGATTTTATATATTTTTTCCCTTTATTCTGACACTGAAAAATGAATAACCTGTACTTAATGGCTGTTTTGATTGGAAACTGAATAAGTAAACAGACTTTTGCACAGTAATATATATTCTGAGGTCCGTTGGGTGAACGTTATTTTTTAAGTATTCATATCAGGTCAGCTCAGTTGGCTGAGTGAACAGCAGTTTCCTGCAAGACTTTCATATATAGCCACTTTATCTTCCACATCTTTCACCACTTGTTTAGCAGTATCAGCGGCACATAAGAAACTTTTTACCTCCCTCTTTCTCTCTCTCTCTCCATCCTGGTTTCAAAACCAAATCACATCTGGGTACTGTGATGACAAGAGAATAGAAAAGTCAGAGATCGTACAGAGGCACTTACCCACAAAGACACACGCAAACAACCACACACACACACACACACTCACACACTCTCAGTCACTTACTCACTCACTCACCAGAAATACATTAACTTCAGATGACTCCAGAGGTAAGTCCAATAAGAGAAAACAGAAATAAAAACAGATATAAAACCAGAGATATATAAATATAAAGTCAATTACATGTGCATTTGTAGATTAAATCTGTTGGCATATTTATTCAGTATCATTCATTTTGCTTTAGCCATCCTTATTGTGTATGATTACTATGTATACCATGTTATATATTATTATTAGATTTTTTAATATCATGTAATATTTTCATGGCAACTCTTTTGCTCATAGGAAATACTATGAAATTGGTGCCTGGGTCATCGTTAATGAATTTTTGTGATTTTGTGAATAATTTCTACATTTTAAATGTGAAGTAGTAACTAAAGCATTTGAAATGCATCCTTCCCTAATCCGTGTAAATTTGGTAGCGTTCTAGATGGAATCATTTAAAAAATTTTTTAGATGTGGCGCAACAAAAACAATCCTTAATTTAACTTATAAATTTAATGTATCATCATTTAACACTAATGTAATCAATTACTATTTACCATACAGATGATACTGGTTCATAAACTGACTGTACACGTTCATAAATGGACTGTACAGATTCCTAAATTTATTTTACGGTAAATTATCTTACTAACATTAACAGATTAACATCAGTTCCTTTGTGTTTACCTTATTAGAGCATTTTTGAAAAACTACCCAAACAAGGACCACGCAGGTCACTGTAGACTTTTCTGAACTTATAAAGTCAGAGTGGCTGAGAATCACAGTCCATCATTTCTGAAGGCTGGTGTAGGGTCTGAGCTGCAGTTACAGTCACAGAATGCGAGTGAACGGCAGGGTGAGATAAGTCATGCGCGAGGCACCCTGCAGCTGGCCGTGCTGCGATATGTTTGGGGTAAAAACCTAAACCTCAGGCTTTGGCATCCTAACTGAATCACACAGGTGTGTGCCTGCCTGCTCCGCTCAACTGCTGAAATAGTAGGAAACACAGGCTTCAGAATGAGAGATAAAGGAATGGAAATTAGTTTTACGTTGGTAGCAGTTTTATTTATTAGACTAAGTAGTTATTAGATTTTTCCCTAAACGGTCTTTTTATGGTCAGAATGACTGTTTACATTTCTACATCCTTTTAAGGCAACTGTACATTTTTTTGAGTAATTGTGGTGAGTTGTGGCATATGTAAGTATGTGATTATGAAAGTACTAAAGTTATTTAGATAATTATTAATAACACATTTGGTTCATTTTTGTATATTTTTTACATAATTTTAAAATACCTGCTGCCTTTTTGCATAAAAATGTCATAATGAATAGACCAACTGAAATCATTAACAATGTTTTTTCTTCTGCTGTGAGTTACAATTTTATATATATATATATATATATATATATATATATATATATATATATATATATATATATATATACAAAGCACGTAATACATATGGGTATATATATATATATATCGCTTTGCGAGAAGAATGTGTTACACAGTTGCTCTTTATTTGCTGAACTTAACATATTAACATATTGAAATAATGCACTAAAGTTTGCAATAAAATGCCATATAAGTTCGTTGTATAGGGTGTGTCAACTTTTCACTTCGGAAATCAACAGAATGTTATTTGACCAGTTTGAACTTTTGCATACAGCTGCATTCACACACATATATATACTGAGACATACACAAGGGAATCTCTCTCTCTCTCTCTCTCTCTCTTCCTTTTCCTCTGTCCCTCTTTCTTCTCCTCACTTGCATTTACTTTTTTTTCTTCCTCTCAGGTGAGAAGCCTGATGTGTGTGGTTTCATACATGTATATATCATCGCTCTCGGTCCAAAACCTTGTATCTCCTAAATCTTCTTAACTTGTTATGTATGCTAATGTGTGGCTGAGCGATGCAGGCATGAAAGAGTGCAATTTTCAAAGCACGAGAAATGCAATTTTAATGATATCTGATATAATTCAAAGTTTACTTGACAAGTTTTAAGTGGAAATATAAAGTAATAATGCAGATCACATGAACTGGCAGTCGGGCACACTACATTCAAAGTCTGAGAGACGGTCTTCTTGGCAAAAGAGCTTAATTTACAGAAAATAATCACATTTAAAATCACAAGCACAAGATTAGTCAGAATATTTTCCCCAAATCTAATTTTGCCCCAAGTTAATGTAAAAAGGTTTTGCTCCAAGCTATTTTGAATTATTTCTATTAATCCATTCATTGTTAACGTTTCCAAAAATAGGGGTGCAAAGTTTCATTTCTGACAATGACAATATGTTTCATTTGTTATGCAGTAGCCAGCTACATGTAGAGTAAAAAAAAATACTCTTTACTTGGTGGTGTTTTGTGCATGCATACAGACACACACACTCACCACAAACACCTGGTGAGCTAATCAACTAGCTAATAATTTTGAACATGAAGCTGATGAATCTTGTCTACACAACAACGTTTCTAGGTCTGTTCCCCTAAAGCTTTGCTTTTTCATTTTCTTTTAGGCTGATGATTAGACTTCTTTCATTTCTTCTCTCTTTGCGCAATGCCACGTTCTTTTTTGGTGAAGAGCAAGAGGGCGGGGTCTTATTCAACACGACCCACCCATTTCCATGCCTACGACCATGATAGACATCTCGAAGCCTCTCAGAAACCCAATCGGAGCACCTCACCTGAAGACATAGAGCTCCATCCAAGATCCGCAGCAACCACCACCGCATTGGGTTACTCCTCAGTTCAGTGGGTTCCTACGGCAACCAGCCCTGACCCTGCCTCTCAGGCTGAGAACTGGGCCTCCTGGACAGCAGGTAGCCAACAGGGCCTCTGATTACATGGTGTCTGATCAAGCTCCTCTTGATGAATGAAAAAAAGTCAAATCTTGAACTGAATCAATGTCACTTTTTGGGTGAAGCTCTGACTTTCATTCACAATTATTATGAGACAATAAGTTTTAAATGTGGCTTTAAAGTGTTCATCAAACGTGAAGGCCTGCCACTCAACCTCATTCTTCCGATCAAATCCATGCTGAGCTGTACAGTAACCAATTTTGCTCCCTTTTGTGTCCCTCCAGAGCAACTGATGGGTGAGGATGGGTCAGTGTCCATGTGGTCACCCCCTCATCTGAGGACTGTAGGGACTTTGAGGGACAGAGAACAGGAACTGGAGAGGCTGGTGCATGCCCTACTGAGCCACAGACTGCAACTCAATGTCAAAACTCCTCTGTGCGAATGTCCACTTTGCGAGAAGGTGGGTCAGCCCTTTAAGAACTCTTTAGAAGTCTTCAGAACCGTTCACTCTACAGAACACTTTAGAAGTCACACCTCATAACTCTTTATAACTTTTCTGAACCCTTGAAAACTTTGTGGATCTCTTTAGAAATATGTGTAACTCTATAACTCTTCTGAACTCTTTAGAACCATTCAGAACTCTTTAGGCACCTGCATAACACCTCATAACTCTTGAGAACTTTGTGTATCTCTTTGGAAATCTTCATAACTCTTTTAACTCCTCTCCACTCTTAGAATGTCTCAGAACTATTCAGAGCCACTTAGAGCCCTTAAGAACCCAATAGGACTCCCCATTCACTCTATGGAATGCTTTAGAAATCTTCATGACTCTTTATAAATTCATAATTTTTCTGAATTCTTTTAATCTCTGTTTTCAGAACTCTTTTGAACTCTTCTGGACTCTAGAACTATTCAGAACCATTTTAAGCTCTGAAGGCCTCTTTAGAGATCTTCATAACTCTTTTTAACTCTTCTAAACTCAGAACTCTTTAGAACTATTCAGAGCCACACAGAGCTCTATAGATGTCTTAAGAAATCTTCATAACTCTTCTGAACTTTTTGGAGCTCTTTAGAACACCTTGGAACTCTTTAAAACGTTTTTCAGAATTCTTTAGAACTTCTTATCATCACAGAACTTAGAGGTTGTTCAGATCTCCATGAATGAAGTCCATGCAACTGTTCTTAGAAATCTTCATAATGCTTTTACATGCTTTTATCCTTTCTCAGGTCCTGTCGTCTGCCGTTGGCTTGGTGACCCACCTGCGCAGGTCACACGTTAACAGAGTTGCTGTTCCTTTGACTGGTTTTGGTGTTAACTCACAACATCATGGGCTCCAGCCCCCTGCAGGATTCTACAGCAGAGCTAAAGTGAGTCGACTTAGCGTCAGATGCAGTTTTTGCAGTATTAACAGTCGTGATAATAGCAGTTCTGTGGTGGAACTAAATAAAGGCAAGCATGTGTGAGGAATGAATATGTATGTGTTTGTATTGCAGGAACGTAGTTTCGGCTGTAAGGTGTGCGGTAAGGTGTTTAAACGTTCGTCCACTCTGTCCACTCACCTGCTGATACACTCAGACACGCGGCCTTACCCCTGCCAGTACTGCGGCAAGAGGTTCCACCAGAAATCAGACATGAAGAAACACACCTTCATACACACAGGTCAGACACACACACACTCACAGACACACACACACACACTCACACTCAAGCATACATACATGCACAAGATATGTACATGCTCATAGAAGGCCAAGTGATATCTATGAAATAAAAATATGTAAAAATGTAATTTTTTAAGTTTATTTTTATGTAATATAATAATTATTCTTTTATTTATTGCAGTAATACTCTTATTTCATTGTTACATTTTGGTTGGAAACAAAAGGCTTAAATTTTCCAATGGAAAATTATCCAATCAGGATCATTTCTCTGTGATATCAAGGTTGATACAGCCAAACGAGCTCTCCCATCGGTTAGGCCTTCAGGAGCTGCACTGAAGACCTAAATGCATCAGATTATCCAGTAGCATAATTAGGGAATGAGAAAGAAATTATGCAATCACATTTTGATTTACAACATAACCAACTCTGTGAGAAAAAAGACACTTTAGGCCTTCAGGAAGTCCTAGACACATCACTGACTGTGACTATGAGTCGTAGTCTAATCAATTCGGTTTAGTCAGATGTTAGAAATGGAAAACGGCAGCAGAAGCTCTATGGCAGGGAGACATAAAAGGTTACATATATCTTAATGTCTGTTACAAGCTTCAAATGTCCCCATTTAATCTAGAATGGTTACAACACAGTTAGCTTAGTGCTAACATACTAATGAAATCCCATAGAGGAGCTAGACATTGGCTTTATTTTGGAAGTGGATTTTTTCCCTCATTTGGCCCGGATATAAGGCCTAGCTCAAGCAATCGTGGCTCGCCAATGGGCGAAAGAATGACCAAAATTCTGAGTCAATTTTTCGAGTAGAGATTTTAAGAAAAGATTAAGATTTAATCAATGTTGCCTCATCAATTATTACTCAAATGAAAATGACAGTCATTCTCAAATATTTTACACACACACAGATTACAAATGATGACTAAAATGTAACCACAGTAGTGTTATCGTTGAGATTACTTAAAAAGGGTAATCTGATTAATTTTGGGTTAAAATCGTTACCTGTGATTTCATATTGTTTTGCTTAAAAGTGAAGTTATTATGTACATGTGATCAAATTTCAACAGCTCCATCTTGTTTGAAGTTAAAGCCCTTATCTCCCGCTCACATTCTACATTCTTCCAAAACCACATGTAACTACTGTTATGAATCATGGTGACATAGCTATTGATAGTTTATGGGCGCAAAAATGTTAAAAATGTAACGCTTAAACATAGTACTCCATAAAAAGTATCTGTAATCAGAAAATAAAATAATTTGAGCTCTCTGAGTTCTTTGAATAATCTTTCAACGTGCTCACAATCAGATTCATACACCCTGGGAAGGGGTCCGACGCATAGCTGCTGTTCCTCCGCATATGCATGCAATTACGCATTTCCACCAGAGAGGTCTCCAAATCCCCAAAACGAACACAGTGTGGCTTCAAATATGACATTTTGATGCACAATTTACATTTTTGAGTTTCCAATATGTTTAATTCAGCAAATAAAAAGCTATTGTGCCTTAAAATGTGCAGAAGTGTGTTCTCTGTAGAGGATGTGTTCACTTATTTTCACTTAGAAAATCACCAAAACATGTTATTTGACCAGGGGTGCCCAAACTTTTGCATACGACTGTGTCCGTTTTAAAGGCATGCTAACACAAATAGTCTATTTTATTCTAAGGGATTAAGAAAGGTTAGAAAATGGTCATGTAAAATGAGTTATGACTGTTTTTGGTATATAAAACCACATAGACATCTTAAGTAGGTCTCAGGAAAAAATTTCAATATAAAAAAATGTGGGTTATGGGTTCTTAAAGGACTCCTCTACAGCGCAGTTAATTTTTTTATCATTTTTTATATATACGTACATACACACACACACACACACACATGAGTGGATCAGACACAGCAGTGCTGCTGGAGTGAAAATTATCCTCCACCCAAATAATACCTGCTCTGTGGTGGTCCTGTGGGTGTCCTCACCACTGAAGAAGAGGGTAAGAGGGGCCTAACAAAGTATGCACAGAAACAGATCGACTACACATATATACACACACAAATTAATACAGTACAGAAATTTGAACAGTTAAAAGGCACCAATCTCACTTCCTCTCTTTCTTCACTCTCTCAGGTGAGAAGCCCCATGTGTGTGTGGTGTGTGGTAAAGCATTCAGTCAGAGCTCAAACCTGATCACACACAGCAGGAAGCACAGCAGCTACAGGCCCTTCAGCTGCCCTCACTGCACCCACAGCTTCCAGAGGAAAGTCGACCTGCAGCGCCACCTGGAGACACAGTGCAACAACAACAGCACAGAGTACAAGGGCAGCTGAGGAGGAGAGCGGACTAATAAAACAATCCTGTGTCCTGCTTTGTGCATGAATTTGGGGTGTAAAAATGCATGACAGTGCAACAGTCTGAATGATGACGATTCAGCTGCATCAGTTATGGAGTGTGGGACTGGATTATATTTTGGTCATAATAATATTCCAGAAAGTATGTGCTAATTTTTTGGCCAAAATAAAATTCTCTAAAATTCTTATCTGTATATTTTGCCTCAGTGCCAAAAATACAGTAGACCAGCCTTCGTTTATTTAATTTACCGTCAAATAAAGTACAAGTTATCCATTTCCAGCATCAGGGAAAAAACAGAAAACATATTCAACAGAAAAATACACAGAAGCCTCAATAGCTAAATATACTAACAGTTTTTCAGTATTTATTGTGTTCACTCTTTGCCTTTATTACAGCTTCCATTCTTTTTAGAAGACTTGCTTTCAGTTTTTAAATTAAATCTGTATTGGCCAGTTCATTCTTCTGAGAACACCAGCAGCTTCTCTGTTTAATTTGCAGACTTTCCTTTTCTCAGTAACAGCTTAGGAGTCCCATTGTCTCTATTTTTTCAATTATGTTTTGAACTCCAGTTGTGGAAACTGTTTTTTTTTCATATAGTCCATCTCCTTCCATACACAGATGGATTATCTTGTATCTAATCTTGTATTGAAATATCTCCTGAAAAATGAATAACTTGAACTTCATGGCTGTTTTGACTGGAAATTAAATAATTGAAGGGTGGTCTCTGACTTTTGCACAATACTGTGTGTTGAAATTCCTCAGGAGTTTAGAAGTTTTTTTTAAATAAGAAATGAGCTAATAAAGATAAACTAAAATGACTTTTGCTCAAAACGTGTGGTGCTTTCATTATTATTAATGAACACAAACACTTCATAAGTCTCATGTTAAAGATTTTAATGTAGCTTCAGCACTAAAGGACAAGCGAAAACACTGAAGCACATTAGTTGCAATCACAATACACACAACTCACTCTAGAGCACCAGTCATATATATCTATCTCTATATATGTACATCAATATTTAATTCTCAGCTCAGAGAATGACAGCCTGAAATACAACAAAGCAGCACAATGACACTCAGCACCCTTCAGAAGGCCCAACGTTGTCGTTGGTCAGACACTAGTCCAATGCAGGCCTAAAGCTGGCCCACTGGAGGCTCAGCTTATGTAGACAGATTTAAGTGGTTTCAGTTTTGGTGAAAAGCATGCATGAGCTCCACACAGAGAGGCGCATTAATCAGACCAGGTTAAGGCCATGGCTCATGAGGTTATGGTTTATCATGATCTGCGTTTTGTCCAAATATGTGCAGGATTCTGGAACCCACCAAACCCACAAACACTATCCTTTCGTCCACGACGTCCACCATCTGTAAAACATCAGGAATATTATATTACTCATATGTGGTAAAGTGTAATACTCACTGGCCATCTCATTAGAAAGCCTCACTTTGTATTTTCACTCACTGGCCAATTTGAGCTACCTTTAAGGTCCACTATATATAAGGTAAGATAAGATAAGACAAAACAAGACAAGGCAAGGCAAGGCAAGACAAGACAAGACAAGCCAAGACAAGTCAAGACAAGGCAAGATAAGGTAAGACAAGACAAGACAAGATAAGACAAGACAAGACAAGACAACACAAGATAATACAAGATAAGATAAGATAAGATAAAATGAGACAAGACAAGACAAGATAAGATAAGATGAGACAAGACAAGATAAGATAAGACAAGATAAGGCAAGATAAGACAAGACAAGACAAGACAAGACATGATAAGACAAGACAAGATACAACAAGATAAGATACAAGACAAGAGAAGATAAGATAAGATAAAATAATCCTTTAAGTCCCACCACAGAGGAAATTTACAGTGCTACAGCAGCAAAGGGATAGCAAGGCACGTAAGAAAAGAGTAACAGGACAGAATGAACAAAAAGGGTATGAACCTTGTTAATTTCTTAACTTCAGCAGCCCCCTCTACCCTATTTATTACTGGCTATTTTCTGACCACAGGACTGCTGTTGACCAGGCATTATAATAATATACAGCACCGTGCAAACGTCAGAAACCAGCCTTCATTTATTTAAACGCTTTTTCACAGTAACATGCAATTACAGTTTGTTTTGAAGGTCAGCCTTGAATCTGAATATCTGTAATTAAATTTGTATTCTTAAAACAATAACTTATATTTTACTTACATTTTACTTTCTATTTTAAATTAAGTGATTTTGCAGAAAGGGGTTAATTTTCAGTCAAAATGGCCATTAAGTACAAGTTGTTTATTTTTTAGGAGATATTGTAGAGAAGGCTAGATATAAGAATACACTTGCATAAGGAAGGAGAAAGTCAAAGGAAAATAAGAGCTTCCAAAACTGGAGTTTTACATTTTTCTAAAGAAATTATTAATTTTAAATTACTGAAAATGATTAAAACGTATAGAAAAAAATGGAACTCCTAACAGCTGAGAAAGACCTAATAGACCACCAGAACTGTCACCACCAGATAAACAGCACTTAAAGCTTTCATCTTTGAGAGAGAGGAGAAAATCAAGCTCCACTCTTGTTTCAGGTATGATCTATAAATCTACACCAGCAAAGGTGGAGCTACAAGGTAGGGAGAGTACATGATTGTGTACATTTGACAACAACAAAAACACACACCTTTGTTGTGAAATTTGCATGAATAAAAATATCCTGCAAATAAATCGAAAAAACTACATCAAAGTTTTGCAGTACTTACAGTCAGCTGGTAGCCTGTCTGCAAGCTTTTGTCTAAACATTGCTGTAATTATACACTTGTACTTGAAGAAAACCTCTTTAAAGGGGTATTCTGTATAATTTAACATACAAAATTTTATGGAAACAAAGAGTAGTTTGGTGTGAAATGCTCCATTCTAGAAAAACTTACAGAGCCAGAATTGTTCACAGTGGTGTTGATAGGAATTAGATATCCACCGAGTTTAGAAACTGCCTCACAGAAAGTTATTACACAAAACAGAAAGGAAAATGTTGCCTGATGCCTGAAACATTGTTTTAACAATAGTTTTGAGATAAGATTCTGGCATAAAATGCATTTTTAAAATACATTCAGGGCAGAGAGGTAATTGTAGGGCCTTGTAAGGCAAAGTAATATGGAAAGGATTTCAGATTTACTACAATTTTACTATGATCAGCATATCATATGCAAATTCAGAGGACACATGTCACTGGGCTTTTGGATAGTAAACAAAATGGCTATATTTGTATCGTAGACATTGCGACCCCTGCTTCCCATCACCACCACTTCAAAGAAGTGCGAGTCATTAAATTTCTCTAGAATTTACCATTTCAAACCAACCCCCCCCAAGTGAATTTGTTTACATCTCAAACATCGAATGTTATAGAAATCATAAAAAATCAGAATTCCCCTTTAATATAGACTGTTGCAGCTTGTTGGAGTGAACTGACCTCTACACAGAGCTGCTGGCTTCTTCCAGCTGAGCTACGGGGTTCCAGGAGTTGGAGTTGTGTGCTGTTGTCTCTAAGTGACTGTCTCTATGCACAGCTGCGGGTTTCCCTGGCAACGACATCACCAAGCTATGTAACGTTTATTATGATCCAGCCATAATAAAGACAAAAAACAGTCTAGCAACAAAAAGAGGTCACAGTGAGTTAGCCAAAAGAAAGAAAATCCCATAAAGAAGAGGAGTTCATTCTACAGCATATCAGCAACATCCACTCTGTTCTGTCACCTTTTGACCATGTTTATAGACAACACTCTATAACAGAGTGTCAGAAACCACATGCGCAAGTCTATTTGAGATTACTTAATATGGTTCGAGTCAAGTGTGTGAGGCAGTTTGCGCAGTGCTGAGTGGTGGGCTATAAACTTTTATTAAAGGGCCTGTATTCTACATTTTTTGCCCGTTTTGTACATTACCCTTCAGGCCCACTTATGTTTGTGTGGGTTTATGTGCCAAAAAACATTGTTACACGACCATTTTCCAATCTCTCTCTATCCCTTAGAATTAAACAGGCAGTTTTTGTTTCTGTGCCTTTGAGACTGATATATTTAAATGAGCTCTGTTCTGACTGCCTGGCCTGTTTCGAGCCTGATTTAAAAGGCAGTCCAATGTTCATAACTCTTAACTCTTTATAACTCTTTATAACTCTTAACTCTATAACTCTTAACTCTTTATAACTCTTTACTCTTAACTTTATAACTCTTTATAACTCTTAACTCTTTATAACTCTATAACTCTTAACTCTATAACTCTTTATAACTTTTAACTCTTTATAACTCTATAACTCAACTCTTTATAACTCAACTTTATAACTCTTAACTTTATAACTCTTTATAACTTTTAACTCTTTATAACTCTATAACTCAACTTTATAACTCTTAACTTTATAACCCTTTATAACTCTTAACTTTATAACTCTTTATAACTCTTCATAACTCTTTATAACTCTTATGAACGGCCTAAACTGCTGTAGGCTGAAAAGACAACTATATGCAAATGCATTTTCATGATGTGACAACAATTTTGTAGCTTATTTTTCATATATGGACTGTGTGGACTGGGGAGTGAACTGTATGTTTTGAAGCTTTGACAGTACTTATATAACACATCTACTCATTTAAGAAAAGTGAGGAAAATTTGGATTTTTATGATATTGGTCCAGCTACATAGCTCCAGTGCAAAACTAAGGAAGCAAACTTCAGACACCAAACACGTCTTGACTGATCGACTACATTTGGGGCAAATCGAGTAAATCTGATTTCTGAATCTGATTGCTGAACTATAACTTTAAAAAAAAATAAGGGAGGATAATTTCAAACATGTGTCCAGTTTCAGAATATAGCACCCATTATAAAATGTATATGTACCACATGATGCTTTTAAAAAACAGTGTTGCTGTGTTGTATCATTGTCTAAACAGCTTAACAAGCCAATTATGAGCACTGCGATTAGACTAGGGTAGTAGCTTAAATACAGGGTAGTGCTATACATAATATTTTGTAAATATATAATATCTTATAAAGTAAGAATAAAGTGATGTACTAAATCGCAAATGTACCTGTGCAGGAATAGATGCACCAGAGCGCCCCCATCAGGCTGATGCCCAGCAGAAACGCAGCAAACACAATGACCACAACAGGGCCAGTATCAGCAACTGAGAAACCATAAAAACATCAACTAAATCCATCAACACAGCCTGAACAGAACCTACATACAATACAACATACCTTGGCATTTTCTGTTTACAGATCCCTGCATTGACAATGTGTTTTTAAATGGTTAGCTCCTCTTGGATGGCTTATTATGGTTAAATAGACTGATGTTAGTATCAAATGTGTTGACAGAGTTGTCGCTTAATAGTTGACATTTTTTTGTTTCCTTTGGAAACACAAACTTTCTCACTACATCAGGCAAAAAGCAATTCGTAGGGCGCTACATAGCAGCCTAGTTTTGTATGTCACGCAGAGCTTGAACCTATCACAGTCCAATATACTAAAATATGCTAATGAGAGGATTATGACAAGAGCCAAGACAGGCATGAGGCCAGCGTTTGAGGCCCAAACGCTGACCAGAGCCACAGGAAGCGGCATGTGCCCACGCTGCAAATGTCAAATCGGCATTACCTCACTCTTATTACTGGCAGCAGAAAAAAGTTTTGATCTGTTTCAGGGTTGTGTGGTGCAGTGACCAATCTGCAGAACTCGTCTTGCACAAAGACAAATTAGCAAAGTCGTGGGCAGTATCATTTAACACTGATATGAATTTGGCTGGATGTTTAAAATAAAAAAAAACAAATGAACAGGAACTTGACTGATGGACCTGACTGATAAGAGGACAGGGAAAATTCTCCTGGCCTGTGAAATTTGTAACAAGAACTTTGAAAGACTAAATGAAAGTGTGTTTTTTCTTGGAAATATAATTGGGTAACAGTACAAGCAATCAATTTCAATAATACTCAAGAAATGTATAAACCTTTAAAAATAACACTTAAGTACACTAACAAAGTACTAAATGGAAAAGTGTTTTCCACCCCTGGTATCCTTACCAGTGTCAGAAGAGCTGTGCCTTGACATCTCTGTTTTTGCTGCTGCAGGCTTTTGAGCAAGCTGACCTGTCCACACACACACACACATACGCACACAAAGAAAGAGATAAAGACAGAAAGAGAGAGAGATATATATACAAGTTACCACATACAGTAAAGCTTCATAAGCAAATGTCTGAGCATAATATTGAGCACTGACCAGCAGGGGGCGGCAGCAGGCCGGCCAGCCCATCAGTCGGGGAATAGGTGACCAGCACTGGCCTGGACAAGTTTCTGTACTCACACTGTGAGAGAGAATGAAAGAAAGATGGGGAACATGGGGGGTTAAAGAGCATTTTTACACTTAATGTTTCTTCTAGACCCGAGGCTGTTTGCACAGCGAGTTTGACAGAGTTTCCTAATGTGAACGCTGTTCTTGGGCCTTGGTCTGGGTTTCACTTCACATGTAAAATCAATCTTGGAACATTATTCTTTACCACAGGGCAGGATAGCAGCAACCTTACCAAACACCCCACACACGCCAGCAAGATGTGCCAGGTGTGGCAGTTATGCTGGATAAAATTCGCTTGATGGACTTTTAAACGTTCAGACTGAACTTCTGAATTTGAAGATACAACCTCAACAACCTAATTTAAAGTTTCAACCTCAGATTTCTGATCAAAACTGTTTTGTTAGCTCTGCTGTCATCAGTTAGCATCAGGGTCAGTCAAATCCCCTTTCAGACTATTTTGTGGTGGCAGCTCTCTAATGTAGCCATCTTCCATCCTCAAAAAGACATGAACTGCTCAGTACTGATCACTATATGTAATGCTAGACCATTTATTAGTGCCTCTCCATATGGTAGTTTTCTAAACCAGCGGTTTATTTCATGAAACAGAACACTGCAGCAATTCCCAATGACAGCAGTGACACTATCAGGCATGGTATATGAACTTGGTAGAGAATGAGTTGCTAGAGAGAAAAAGCTTCACTTATGTACAGCGTGGCTGTGGCCGACTGCAACTGGAAAATAAAGCAACACATCTAAGGCTGTGTCTTTTTTAATAGCAGTGAATGCTGCAATATTAACATGTTAGCGAACATGCGTAAGACTGAGCTGACAGCAGTGTGACTGTTATGCGTGCGGGTCACATTCACAACAGAAAATGAGAAAAGCCGCAGTAAGACTCTAGTTAAAAGTTAAAAACATCGTGTCTGCTCTTTAGCGAGCTCTGTTTTGGTTTAGAAAAATAAATGCCATTGAGCTGCATTCTGTCTAAACTACACAGAAAAAATGATGAATTATGATTATAAACTTATAAAAATTATTTAAAAAAAAAAACCTCTACTGTGCTACTGTGCTTATACTTGCTCGTCCTCATGGAAACAGATATTTTTTGAAAATGTACTTTCTTTAACTGCAAAAACAGTGTGTTAGGTCACTGGACACTTATAGTTGATGGAAGATGCTCTCCAGGGTGGAGATTTTGAAAAAGTTTTCTGTGTTTCTATGAAGGTGGATAAAAATGTTGAAAATGCTCACATCACATGCATTTTTACTGCAGTTTGATGAGTTTGGAACATGTTGTATGATACTGCATGTCTGACATAGCTGCTTCTGCTTACTCGCTAATATCAGGTTTGATTAAGGGTGGGTGACATATTTTGACACATGGACACAAGACACTAGTAATGCTCCATTTAAAAACTGCCATCAAAAACTCATCATTTTATTAAGTAATTCACATCTGTACTACAGTAAATTCAATTAAACATGGCTAATTATGCTCTCTTTGTAATAAAATATGCAGTGGTCAGTGTTCTTTAAGTACTGATGACATCCATTATATAATCACAAAAGCATATTGTAAGCATGTTGCTAGCCCACCTCTAGGTATGATTGCACAATGTTACTACACAAACTAACTAATTTATCTTTTCATTATCATTAGAGAAAAAATAATGAAATATTTAACAGCAATGCAAAGTTCTTGAAGAACTCAGACTGCCTCCATAATAATACACATTATGAGCGTGTGCAAAATCAGGAATAATCCTTGTATTTTTAATTTGCTAAAAGAAAAATTGTGTATAACATGAAATATTTTGTTATTGACAGACTACTGGCTGCACTTTTTCTTTCCCGGATGAATTAATTAAAGCCATAATGAACAGATTAATCGATTATGGGAATTATAGATAGTTGCAATAATCCTGATGTTGTGTTGACATGTTCACCGTAGACAGACAACGGCAGACTCGATATTCCATTGTTTTCAATGGACCCGCGATAGAGAATTCTGCCACTGCAAGCAGCAATGCTCCGCAGACCACATCGATGAGCAGAACGTTCTATCAAGAGCTCAATTTTTCTAACTTTTGTCGTCGACTACAGTGGTGGGATAAACTGGATATTTATGTTTTGAGGAGCCATGGACATCAAACGTCTCGTTGTTGAGTTCCAGACAAACCAAGTTTTATACAGCAAAAATAAAAGAGTGCAGAGTGTGCTCCTACATTAACATGTGAACGCAGAATAAGTGATATCACACTAGGAGATGGAAAAGGGGTAGTGGTCATTTTATAAGGGGGGACATTTTTTTCTTGTATTTTTTGGAGGGAATGGCATCCCCTTGCAAAAAATGGTAACTGCATATTGTAAAGAAGAGTCTTTAGAAAAAAGTGTTTAAATATATAGTCATTATTTATTTATTGTCTTTTTTGCACTGTCATCTGCTGCTTGGCTGTATTAAATGTAGCACTGTGTCCTACAGAAACTACAAACACAATTCCAAAAATGATAATGAAAACAGAAAGCAGTCATTAGTACATTCTGTTTGACCTGTATTCAACTGACAAAGGTACAAAAACACAATGTTTTATGTTATATTTTGGGAACTGAAGACATCAACTAATCCAGTTTCTTGCTCTATGACTCTTCCGCTGTGGAAACGTACGAGGCCTTGATTGTTGTGTTATGCACACATTTTTGGGGGGTGGGGGGCAGTTCTGGTCTGCAGGCAAGCCAGCCTAACACCCACACTCTCTGATAACACGGTCATGCTGTTTTAACACTTGTAGTATGTGGCTTACTGAAAATAAGCCACATACCTATTTGTTGTCATACGGAAATAAGCATGGACATCCCTGATAAAGAACCCCTAATAACAACTCCATACCATGACAGACCTACATGTACAAGGCAGAGTATGTTGCTCCAAAATGTGTTCAATGTAACTAGTGTCTTCAAGTTACCCACTAATACCCCTCCATACCATAGCAGACCCTGGCTTTTGAACTTTACGCTAGTAATGATCTGGACAGTCTTTTTCTTCTTTGACCCAGAGAACACAACGTCTATTATTTCCGTAAACAATCAGAAAGGTTCACCCATCAGACCGCAATATATGTTTCCACTGTCCATCAGTTCATTTCAAAGGAGCTTTAGCCCAAAGACGTCGGCAGCGTTTCAGGACGTCGCTCATTTATGGCTTCTGCTGTGCATAATACAGTCTTAACTTACATTTATAGTGTTTACTGATAACAGTTTATCAAAGCCCATGTGCCATGTGTGGGTCAAAGGTCACAGGTTCAGTATGGGACAGTTGTGGTTTTGGCCTTGCCCTTTTCACACAGAGAATTCTCCAGATTCCCTGAACCTTTTGCTAATATTATATACTGAACAGGGCGAATTACCTACAATCCTTGCAATCGCTCACTGAGGAACACTATTTTTAAACTGTTGGATTTTTTACTAATGCATTTTTGGCAAAGTGGCAAACCTTGACCCATCCTTACTCAATGATTCAGCCTTTACTGGATGCACCTTTAATATTTCATGCATAATTGAACATTTCACAACATTCCTAGTCTTAAAATGTCCCCATTCCTCAACTTTTTTGGGAAGTATTACATGTATCAATTTCCAAATGAGTGTATATTTACAAAAAAGAATGAATGTTTTAAAGAGAAATAATACGTTTTGTCTTTCTGCTGTTTTTGCTGAATTATGGATCAAAGTAGATTACAAATCACTGTTTTCTGTTTTTATCAGCACTTCACATACTGTCCCAACTTTTTTCGAATTCAGTTTGTATATTTCCTTTCCTCACTCAACATGTCAGTAATGAGAAGGAATGACCAAAGTTACTACAATCATTTCCTGCCTGTAACATGTAATTGTCTATAATATGTGTCCCGTGTACGTGTGTGTGTGTGTACCTGTTGTCCAGCAGGTGTGTTTATGAGAGCAGGTACTGAGGGCCCCTGCGTGCAGTGTCTCTGTGCTGTTGCCCCTGGGGATCCGCCTCCGCACAGCTGCAGACTGCAGTGGAGGAACTGGATAGAGTTATTAAAGACCGGCCGCAAGATGAAGCTAAACCTCAGCCGGGGTTCTGTCTTTCCTTTCATCTGATCGAATTTCTGCTTTGGCGACTTTCTTTTCCCTGATCCATCTCGCACTGTCTTCTCTTCTTCGTCTCTTGGTTCTTCTCTCCCTCCACCTTGACTTGATCCTTTTCTCTGTCTTTCTTCCTCTCTCTCCTCAGCCCAAACTTCTTCTTCCTCCTCTCTCTCTTGCTCTCCTTCGTTCACCTCACTCTCTCCCTCGTCACTCTCTTCCTCCTCTTCTTCCTCCTCCTCCTCCTCCTCGCTCACTCTTTCCTCTTGCGCACTGTTCTCCAGGCTGAAGGAAGGGTCAGCAGGGCAGAAGCCTTGGACAACCGGCCAGCCGGGGTGTGCGCGCGGGTCAGAGAGAGGAGAGACCACACAGGAGCTCAACTCTAACCGCCCACCAAGAGCCCTACTGCCAGAGATCTGAGAGAGAGAGACAAAGGGAGAGAGAGTGAGGCTAGTCATGCAGGCAAGATTTTCTCACAACCAAAGAAATAATCAATATTTACGGTATGACCAAACGTATCCAGACAGCCCTTCTAACTACTGTATTCAGCTAGGTGAAAAATTTAACTTTCACTTAGCCCAGATATAGCTGACCAGCCATGACATGTTTAGAACTGTAGAGGTGAGGCTAATGTTGCTAACAAACACTGGAACTTAATAGTCACCCAAATAGCGCAAATCGTTTTTGTAAAAATACATCATGAAAACTTCTCACAACCTGCTCAAACTGCATGTAGATCTTCATTAAGGTCATGCAGACTTCCTGATGAGGTTCAGAGCACAGTATGGCTTACTGCACGCTAAAAAATAGCAAGAATGCAGGCAGCCAATTTAGACAACAGTGTCTGTATTCAGAAACCACCTCAGGAGTAGAAGTGTTGATCTAGAATCAGCATTTGTGACACCAACCATCATTAATACGGAGGGATCTGCTCCAAGATCAGTCGTACTTTGTGAATACCGGCCCTGGTGTTTTCACCGTCACGGTGATATTTTCTTCATTTTCATAGCTGGGTCACTCTCGATTTGGAGTGGGAATTCAGGTGGATACATTAAAAAAAAACAATTTCTTTCATTCCAAAACTAAATAATCTTATATGTCCATTAACATCTCCTATTATCATATATGCAAAAAGGAGAGCTTAATTCCAAACATATTTGACATGTCACTGGTTTTATATGAATATGGTGTAACACCAGTGACAGTGACTCCAGTGACATTCTGGGTAAAATTGAGGATTTTGGAAATTGGTTGACTCATTGGTGATCAGGTGCCCTTGTGCAACTATTTAAAATCAGTAATAAAAATTATATATGGTATTATTTTGACAAAATTTAATTACCCAGCCATTAAAGCACATAACACCAGTGACACATAGAAGTTATATGCCACCTGATAAACAAAATTATTAATAAATTAATGAAATATAGTGAGCAAGTGTGGACTCGCCTTCTCATACTTTAAGATGCTTCTTCTCTGATGAGCCTTGATGCAAGGAAGCAGTTTAATAGAGTTGAAAATACTATGTTAAAATGTAACATGAGAGTCCTCATAACACCAGTGACCAAAATCTCTGTGACAAATTAATTTTTTTAAATAAAAAACATTTTTAAATGTAGTAAACGTTAATGATATAAAAAGTAAACATGAATTCCTAAATTCCTAAATTAAACCTCTTAAAAGTATTTTTATATTTCTCAAATGTTGAAAATTAGTTTTGTGATGAGCTGTTTTACATATGCAGAGTGAATATGAAACAGCATAAAAAAGAAAAATCTGCAAAATCACATGGGAAAACTATTATTTAATCTTAGATCAACTGTGTAAATGTACATACCGACTTTTGGAGCTGGTGCCTAATATGTGAAGCATCTTTTTAAGCCCTGCAATCTTTGTGACCTGGTTTCCCACTCCAAATGGAGAATGACCCAGCTCACACTATGTCATGCTGTGCTCTTAACCACACCAGCAAGTCTTTCCAACCTTAAAGAAGACTTTGAGTGGACTGAGAGAAGTTTCGGGAGATGTATTTTTACAGAAACAATTTGGGCAATCTGGGTGACTCTTGAGTTCTAGTGTTTGTTAGCAATATTAGTCTCATAACTCTAGTTATATTCTAAAGAAGTACCATTTGGACACCAAACATGTCTTGGCTATTCAACTACAACTGGGGTGGAACATTAGAACATGCATTGCTGACGTGTTCAATTGCACACACAGCTTGTATAATCTCCATAGAAGAGCACTGCCAATAGAAAGAGACACTCTGGAACAGGTGTACATGAGAATAAGGTCACCATGCCCTCTGAGCATTTCTAGGGTCATATAAAGCCTACCAGTACTGGGCTGTGGAGCAGAGCAACTGTGTCCTCTGGACTGATGAAGCTCCACGCAATACCTTTGGGATGAGTTAGGGTGGTATTTATGATCCAGAACTAATCATTTAACATCAGTACCTCACTAATGCTCTTGCGTCTGAATGTTCCAACATCTAGTGTAAAGCCTTCTCAGAAAAGGGGAAGCTGTTACTGCAGTCAAATGGGGACAAACTCTCTATAAATAGCCTTGAATTCAGAAGAACCGTAGTTTCTCTGTGTAATCTAGTGTTCCTTTGCCCTGCTTTTCAATGCTCAGGACCCTCAGAGAACCACTGAGCAGGTATTATTTAGGTGGTGGATCATTCTCAGCACTGCAGTGACACTGACATGGTAGTGCAGTGGTCTTCAAATAAAATGTGAAAATCACACTGTAGTGGTCAATTCTGTTTTACTTGTTATTTGGAAAGTTCATGGAACAAATATTGTCAACATTCGGATTCAGATTTAAACTTGTTTACATTTGCCATTTTGTTTGTGACCTTCTGAAGGTTTCTCTGCCCTTTAAGCCTTGAGGGACAGATATGACCCAAAGAAACATGGTATCAGTGTGTGGCACCAGATATTTTAAAAACGCAGACATGAAAACAGTTGGACATGAATCCCTCATCACCACTCCCTTTACTGAATATATATATATATATATATATATAAAACTGGAGCAGCAAGGCTAACATTGCCAACAAACACTTACACATTAAATAGTCACCCAGATAGCCCAAATCGTTTCTGTAAAAAAACAAGGCATGACCTGCTCAAACCACATCCAGATCTTCATTAAGGTCATCCAGACATGCAGATGAGGTTTAGAGCACAGTAAGGCTTAGTGTATGGAGTTGATTTTGTGCCAAAAGTTTCAAATAAAATATTAAAATCCACAAGCAAAATCCTAAGTATCAAAATGTCCAAAATATGTTGCAAATACAAATAATGAGAGTTGAATCAAACAAATTATTCAAAAAGACTACTACTCATTTTCTCTCACTCTGATATACATTTATTACTCAACGCCCTCTTCTAAGATCTGCCCCCTGTTAAAAAGTGCCAATAGTCAAAGGGAAAAAAAAATTTCAGATGCAAAAGTGCGATTCATGGCATTTTCAAAAATCGCCACTATCGTCACCTGTGGTAAACAAAAGTGCTCTGAAGTCCATACATTTTGCCATACGTACATTTATCCATCAAACGTCCCTGGGTCCTCTGACTTACAACACCGCTAAGATGTCAAAATAGGAATGTTGCTACACACAAGCTAACTCTCCTGCACACAGAATTAACATCATAACACTGGCAACCCCAACAAAATACCCCACACAAACCAGTGAGCTTTGTAGCTTTAGCAGCATCTAGCCTACAATTTCAGTAGCCTACCAACTGAGTAGCTGTTGTTGTCATATAATAGTGTTGAAGTGCAGTAAAAGCCTTACTGAAATCCGACATCAATTGAATGAGTTTTAGTTTTATTGTATGTAATTATTTATATTTTATATTATTTATATTTTAAATACTAAATGACCTTGTAATTCAGAGAAACCTGTGACGTTTGGGTGAAAAATGTATATAAGATAAAAACACCTTTCATCTGGCCCTAGAGAAATTCAGCTTTATTACCCAGTTATTTGGGCATGACAATGACCACAAAACGATGTGCAACATCAGAGGTGTATTGGCATATTTTCGGGCTTAGCTAAATAACAGAGGAAGAAAAAATGGAGCTGACCTCGGCGTATACTCGGCTGTTAACGGTGATAATGCAGGGCCCCACGGTTCTGCGCTCAAACTGCTTGCTCGCAAACAGCTGGAGGGAGAGCAGAGGTGCACCATGAGGAGTGATGAACCATAGCGGGCCTGAAGCTGTACTGCGCCACTTTGCCCCCACAGGCTTGGAGGAGCTCAGCTCAGGAACAGTGGGAGAAGTGGGAAACGGAACTGCACAGCTGAACTAAGAGAAGTAATGAGAGGACTATTAGACTGAAACATATATACATATAGTATATACATTTAGATTTTTACATATATTGTACTATCTGTCATGCCTGGTTCTGTTTAGTTTTGAAATCATGCTTATTTTAGGCTTTTTAGATCATAGGAAATGTTAGCCTTCGTTATGCTCTGTTTGGTAGGGACTTTTATTGTGAAGTGTGGGGCTAGTAACTGGCCAGGTTTGTGTGTGTTGTTGTAGCAGGCTGGTGAGCGCGAAAGTGAGAGCAAAAGCAAGAGCTGTGAGCTGGGCTGAGGGCAACTTCCTGTAGTTCTATGAGAAGCTGCATATGGACAAGAAGTTTGAGCTGTCTGAATTTCTTGTGACTAAACTCCACATCATATATATATATTTATATACACACACCGATCAGGCATAACATCATGACCACCTCCTTGTTTCTACACTTATTGTCTGTTTTATCAGATCCACTTACTACATAGGTGCACTTTGTAGTTCTACAATTACAGACTGTAGTCCATCTGTTACTCTGCATTCTTTGTTAGTGTCACTGCTGGACTGAGAATAGTCCACCAACCAAAAATATCCAGCCAACAGCGTCCTGTGGGCAGCGTCCTGTGATCACTGATGAAGGACTAGAGGATGACCAACACAAACTGTGCAGCAGCAGATGTGCTACAGTCTCTGACTTTACATCTACAAGGTGGACTGACCAGGTAGGAGTGTCTAATAGAGTGGACAGTGAGTGGACACAGTGTTTAAAAACTCCAGCAGCACTGCTGTATCTGATCCACTGTGTCTGATCCACTCTCTCTCTCACTCTCTCTCTCTCTATATATATATATATATATATATATATATATATATATATATATATAGGTTACATTTGTGTTTTTATCTTATTTCCAATATGTTAAATTCAACAAATTAAATATAAAGATTCAGCAGATTAAATATGAAGTAATCCACTTGAATAAAGAAAGGGAAAAAAGTTCTGGTTATTGACTTTTTCAGTAGTGACAATTTTAGCTCATTTGGAGCAGAACCTGAGCAGGACATGGCTAACAAACACAGCTTTGAACAGCTGTACACACATAAAATCATTATACTTTCATTAAAACACAAAAAATTTACTTAGTTGCAGAAGCAACTGATTTTCAGACTTTGGGACACATTTACTTCAAAACAACGGGATCTAATTTTACCATTTGGTCATGAGGGACAGGGATGCAGTCTCACTTTCTGCTCTAAACTGTAGGAGTGCGGCTAAAATAAGACCCCACCTGTAGACTTAAACTCTTGGTGTTTTGTTAGTGACACGCAAACATGGGACAGCATTTTTGATATTTTCTTTTTATTAAACTCATAATAAGTCTAGATCATTCAACTTCATTTTAAAAGATCTATAAAAAAAACAAAAAAAAAACAGAAAGTTTTGTTTTCACAAGTTGAAATTTAGGGGTTAGAGTTTGGGACAACAGAAAGTACCCTGAAAACAATGTTGTATGTATTTAACTATTACTATCTCAGTCAGTGTCTTGAGTTTGAATAGATCATCAAAAATACTTGTAAATATCTAAGGTCTGAATACTTAGTTGTGTTTTTAATAGTTTTTTTTACTGTGGGACTAGAGTTTAAACTAAGTTGGTAGAATGGTCCATTGATGTAAGTAACTACGTGTAGTAAAAATGTGCCCATATCTATTATACATTTGTAAGTACCTTTATGTAGTAATGTCTTTTATATATTGTCACTGTCTGAACAAAACTTGTATCTCTACGTTTTGTTGTTTTTCATTTTTTTCATTAGATTTGAAAATGTTGGTCTTAACATTGTGTCAAAATTTCATGATTAAGGGACCAATAGAAATAGTCTAAAATGACTTGTTGCCATAGTGATGATATTACATATATGTAAGCACCTATATGTAATTTTCTACCTAATCATTTTAGTTTTAAAATGAAACATAAAGATTTTTTAACCAAAAACAAAAGAAATCCCACATGTTTAATATGCAGAGTTGACTCATCTGCCTTGTTCTACTCACACACACTCTACTCACATGTATAACCACTGGAGTTAAGTCCTCAGTCACTTTCCATTTTGTTCCACGGGACAGACCCATCCGAGGCTTGCGTTTCCATAGCAACACCTGCAAAGTGAATGATGATAATTCATATTAATGTAGTGTGGTTAATGTGAGCTCACTTTCACTCTTTCACTCATATTCACTCATTTATTCATACTCTCAGGTATTTCCACCCTTCTCTCCTGAACACAGGACACAACAACCCTTTTATTTTATAGATAGTCCAGTCTGCTCAGCACACTATAACAATTATATAGCAGCAGTGAAATATATTAGACTTGAAGCAATTTAAACTCTCATACACTTCATCTCCACTCGCACACGAACACACGAGCACACAGGCAGCGTGACCCAGGTCACATATGTCATTACTGGCAGACACAAATACAAAGCTCATCTGTGTCAGAAAATATCCCAGCTTACGCTGTGAGACCTGCTTCCAAATGTCATTTTCTAAGGAGAGCTTCTATTGTTCCTTTAAGTAACTCACCAGCAAGTCATCATGGGGAAAAACACACTTCTGAAAGACAGCTGGGGGTGAAGCACCCTTTGGGAACTTTGCTTTCTCCTTACAAAATGTTTTAACTACATACCAAACAAAAGGCTTCTCTCACACCAGAAACTGTGCTCTTTTTTAAGCAATAGTTTGGTGAAAAATCAATATATAATTGCAGAATTACCTCAAATACAGTCAGTCGACTAAGACATATTTGGTGTCTTAAGTTTGCTTCTTTAGTTTTATACTGGGGTTATGAGGCTAATGAAGCTAACAAGAAATAAAAGCTTATGTAAACTAATTAGCATCATACAAACTGCATGCAGCAATACACACTTACCCAAATAGCATTGCATTGTTAAATAATCTCAGACAGACTTAGGTGGTTTCTGGCACTGTATGACCAATGTGTATGTATCGTTATACACAAATGGACAAAAGTAAATCACATAGCTAAAAAAGTAGCTCCAGCCATCTGGAAGCCTCAATTTTGTTGGCACTTTTGTCCATTTTTTATCAGATGTGGTTTGAAGAAAGTGTGAAATAAGTTGTGCATGACTTTAATTAGTGAGTAATAAGCTTCCCTTTCTGGTTAACTGTATTAGCCTCGCAGCTTTTGAGCATAAATAAAGAAGCAAACTTTAGCCCCCAAACTTCTGTTGGCTGATCAACTATTTTGGGATGAGGAAAAAATGTATTATAGCAGGACATTATAATGCTCCTGTAATGCTCTTAACAAACCAATAGCCCCTAATTAACTGGCTGCTCATTACAACTTTATTAAGCACTAACTCTCTGTCTCTGACACACGGTTCTACTGCATGACATTTCCTTGTTGAGGGATGATCAGCACAAACAAACACACTAATGTGGCATCATGGTAATTGATGACATTCATTATTAGAAACTTTAGCATTTTGAAACAAACTATTTTTGACAGCTCCTGAGCTGCTCTACAAACCGATAATCAGTGATGTTTTGGGTGAACTACTCCTGCAAATAAGGTTTACACAACTTTCCATTTACCCTAAATGTGCAAAACTCAATCACAAAAGAATGTGCTAAAAATAAGTAAAGAGATACACGTCTAAAATTTGCACATGAGCATTTAGACAAATCAGAACTCTTTTGGAACAATATGTTTTTGTCAAATTAATCAAAATACGCAATAATTCAGCTTGCCATATTTGGAGAAAGAAGGGTTGGGAATATGATCCTAAGATCACCAAACCCACAGTGAAGTATGAAGGTGGTAGTATCACAGTATGGGGCTGCTTCTCTGTAAATGGTCCTGGTGTATTACATGCTATCAAAGGACACATGACTGGAGCTATGCAGTGACATATATTAGTGGAGAATTTAATCTCATCAGTGAAAAACGTGGGAGAATCTAGGGAGAAGATGGATATTTCAAAAAGACAATGATCCCAAACACACAGCCAAAACAACTCAAGACTTGTTTGTAAAAAAGTAAAGGTGCATGCATGGCCTGACCAATATCCTGACTTGAATCCTTTTTGCAAGGATTGGGGTAATTGCCAACAACAGCTTCACAAGCTTCACTATACTGTACCATACTATACTATTCTATGATCTAGTTCACTAATGTGAACAAATGTGACCTGATAACAAAAACCAAAATGTCTGAATACTTGTTTCCCCTGTAATTAGTGAAGTGCATTTCCTCTTCTCTCTCTCTCTCTCTCTCTCTCTCTCTCTCTCTCTCTCTCTCTTGCTCTCACCGTGTTTTTGTATTGCATTTCTCTGCTGTGTTGCTTGATCTCTCCCTCTGTCCCACAGGAAATGACCGGGAACGCCAACAGGAAATGGCTCCCGTTGGACTGCGCCTGGCACGAGGGGTCTCGCAGAGTCACTGCTAACACTGGGAGAGACAGGGCCTGCATGGATCAGCATGAGTATGTGATAAGTACAACACAGTGCTGCGTTAGGGAACATACTGCTTTGATATCTTACATTATAATGAAGAAGCCAATGTGGCACCAGCAACAAAGTGCTAACAGTGTTTGTTTTGCAGAACGGTTTAAAGCTAAAGATACGAATGATATCTCAGTATTGTGTGTGTTTGACCTGTAAAATCTGTTTATCCACAGAGACAGTGAGGCGTCCATCCAGACACTGAGCTCTGATAACCTCCTGGCTGCCTTCAGCACCATCATCGTCCTCACGAGAAAGCCACTGCCTGAATCTCGTCTCCTCCTTCTTTGTCTCCATAACCTCCTGGACTGTGTGCATGTGTTGCAGAAAAGATGTTTCATTGTGTTTCCTCTGCAACTTTATTAACACCCTAATTAAAGGAACAGCTCAACAAAGCATGCTAATGTGGCTAATTATGAATGGAAGCTAGTTGCTAGTAGCCAATTAGCACAATGTTGTTGACACAGTGCAGTGTTTGGTTCGTCCGTTCTGGGCATGGTGACACAACATTGCGGCCTCTGTTAGATACCTATGTAGATATATAGGAGTCATTCTAAGTTAACAAAAAGGCAATGATTTGTAGTTACAGGTAATTATACACTAATGAAAACATGGTTTTATTTACACTATATTCCTTTTCTGCTAATAGATCTCCCTAAATCTTACACACTGCACCTTTAAACATGCATGAATGAATGACTATAGCAGACTAATATTTGATTGTTAACATGTTTTAACACCAGATAACCCCCCTGGAAAAAATTGCAAAACAAAATAATGCACCCATGATGGCTGTTACCTCTATTTTAAGCTATGTTAATTATTTCTGTCTATTTTTATAGATACAGTATAACAAAGAGTGTCAGAAACCTAATAAGCAAGTCTATTTGAGATTGCTGAATAACTCAACACAGTGACATTCTAAAGCATTGGCTTGTTTCTCGCATATCTTGTTATCTGTGTACAGCCTGCACTGTACAAACAATTTTTAGGGTTCTAAATTAAAAAGTTAGTATCCAGGCTGTATTAACATTTTGATTAAAAAAAAGTTGATAGGGCATAAAACATAGATTTTTGTTCCATTAACTTGCTATTCAAAATTTAGTTGACTAAAAATATTAAGGTAGTGTGAACAAAAATATTTTTAAGTTAAATTTTTTTTACAATGTGTGCGCAGCAAATGAATTTCTCATCATTTTTTTATTCCTATGTTCATAGTTTGTTCTAAACCAAAACAGAATCAACAATCAGAGTTCGTAGAAAACCTGTATTAGACTAGATTTCATGCATACAGGCCTTACACAGCATTATACCTCAAAATGATGACAAAACCATATGCATACTGATTACCTGTACAAGTGTCTCATACTTTAGAAAACTCAGAGCCCTGCAGAAGATGTCAACTTTAAACAAACCCTAGTTATGGAATTCTATAAACTGATAGAAAGACACCTCTCATCACTGAATCATTTGGTTCATGGCTAAACTAAAAGAGCTGCTAGTAGAGCCATCTCTTTCTGCACGTCAAGTACATCTGCAGCAACACATCATGTTAGTCAGAGGGACACACAGCGTCACAGCCTTTCTATGGACTCCTATCTTTAGCAATGCCGATTTAAAATGTACTGGATGATGTGCAAAAAACAGGCCTGGTACATGGGGCTGCGACTGTGCCTTCTTAATGGAACTGTGATTAGCCTGTTTTGTTTTTTGGTTTTTTTTAGAAATTTGGGCTTCTCATTCAGGAACTTTGAACATTTCCGCCAATGTGTCTTCTGGGAAAGAAAGCCTGGACATAAGCCAGTCACACACTGTGGCTTGATATAATGGAAAAAACACAAATTATTACATATTACTGAATTCATATATGCTTAAAACAAAGCATATGTGACCTGATGACTGGCACTGTGTCTACAAACAATTACAACAAACAAATACACATTTAATCCTGGTGTCGTTCAATCTCTTATTTGAAATAACACATGAAGGTCTTTAGTGCCCATTAATCTCTATGTTACCAAGTTTAGAATACAAAGTATGTGTTTGTACATTGTTTTGCAGCACCCTGGAACCAGCCAAGGACACTGGGTCATTTCATCAGATCAGAAACTTGTTTTCTCTTAACCAGAGGTCAGACTGTAACAGCAGTGACAAACACAAAAGCAGCCAAAGCTCTCCCTCTACCTGTTTCTCTTCCTCTTAGCTTGATCACAAAGCGATTGGCCAGATTAGCCTCCGTGTATGACGTAACAAAGAAGTAGTCATTCTCTTTGGCCCAGGCCAACAGGTCAGGGTGCATGAGGAGGTCAGGGACTATAGTGGTGCTCATGGTGAGGTCAGGCTTAGGAGGATAGAGAGGGGTAACACTGTGGGAAGACTGAAAGGAAACGATACATTATTGGTGATTTTGCTGTTTGTGGAACGGGTGATACAAAAGTGAGGAATATATACGCACAGCAAATTTTGCTATCTTTTGTTATCTAAATCTTAAGATTTATTATTTACTAACTAATACAAATTATGAAGCAACTACTACGAATGTTTCAGTTACTAAGATAAATTATTCAGCAACTACTATGAATCATTCAGCAACTACTAAGAATTATTCAGAAACTACTATAATTTATACAGTGACTACTGTAAATTATTCAGAAACTACTAAAAATTACTTATAAACTACTACAAATTATTCACTGACTACTGTAAATTATTCAGTAATTACTAGGTATTATTCGGAAACTACTATGAATGATTCATTATTCAGAAACTACATAAATTATTCAGAAACTACCATGAATTATTCAGCAACTACTATGAACTATTCAGTAACTACTATGAATCATTCAGTAACTACATAAATTATTCACAACTATTATGAATTATTCAGTAACTACTAAGAATTATTCAACAACTACTGTTTATTATTCAGCAACTACTATGAATGATTCAGCAACTACTATAAATCATTCAGCAACTACCATAAATGATTCAGTGACTGCTAAGAATTACTCAGCAACTTTTGCGAATGATTCAGCAACTACTATGAATTATTCCGTAACTACATAAATGATTCAGCAATTATTATTAATTATTCAGCAAGTAATATAAATTATTCAGTAACTACTATGAATTATTCAGCCTGCAGGTATCAGTTGGACAAAAATGTTTCATTTAACAGAGTAAAAATGTCTCGGTGCATTGTGATGTACTGATCTACTCAACTGCATTGATTATGGACTATCAGAATTAATTATTATTTATTATTATGTTATTAATTTTTTGGTCAAAATAAAATCCTCATGCCTTATGAATTGATAATATTGTGTTTTTTCTACTGTGTAAATAGTTCCTCCAGTCACATTTGTGTATTCAGTGTAATTTTTAAAATAATTTTGTATCACAACAAAATAATTAAATTGTATTTAATCTAGTTTAAAGTTAAATTACATTATGCATTGAATTGTGCCCTGAAGAAACATAATTGAATCAAATTGTTGTGCAGTGAGGGATTTACACCCCTAACACACAACAAAAAGGGGTAAAGTAGCACCAAAATATGTGTAAAAATACGTGTATCAACAACTGCTATACACTTTTATTTGTATTGTTGAGTTTGTATACAGTGAAATATACAGTATTGTGTCCATGTGGGAGAGAACAAAGTGGAGTCTCACATAGACAGTGATGTGGCCACGGAGGCCAGTGGTCACCAGAGCAAAGTTTACTGGAGCTGCGCTGCTTAACACCAGCACGAGGTTATACCACCCCGCATCTGCCACTGAGGGCAGCAGAGCAATAGATACCTCTACCTGTAATGAGCTGAGAAAGAGAGAGAGAGAAAGAGAGAGAAAGAGAGAAAAGAAAAGAACAGAAAGAATAAGACAGAGACCACAAGACAGAGAAAGAGACAGAGACAGTGACACAGAGGTAGAGAGAAAAAGAGAGAGAGACAGAGAGGTGGAATGAGAGACAGACAATGAGATAGACAGCAAGAGAGAGGGAGAGAGAGAGAGAGAGAGATGATATCATTAAGGTGCATTCAATCATTCAATCAGTTCACTTTTGCATCATTTTTCAATCTTTATATTACCACTAAATGAGTAAAACCAAATTCATGTTCTTGTATTTGCTGTCCAAACAGAACCCATCAGTCAGTTCACACAAATACCTTGGATTGATAGGAATTTACGGAAGTTACCACTTAAAACTCACAGTTAGTGTCAAAACTCAAAAAGGCAGACTGAAAAAACATTTATTGTTACGGACATTTTACAGCTGTAATGGAATGCTGTAATGAGATACTGGAGCTCTTGTGAATGAAAACAACTTTCTTTTATGAGTTTGTTTTACGTTTATTGCATTCATGCTTTTATAAGCTGGTTTTAGGGTAAGTGTGTTCATGTTTGTTCACTTCATGTGAAGTTCATAGGATTCTACAGTGAAATGAGACCCTGAGAACATCACGTGAAATGGACAAATAATAAAGCTTGGAACAATGTTGTTGCTGTTGTTGTTGTTAAAACTACTATCACTGCTACAACAAACCCAATTCCAAAGAGGTTGGGACAGTATGTGAAATGCCAACAAAAACAGAAAGCAGTGATTAATAAATTCTGTTTGTCCCATATTATTATTTATATTTAAAGGTTTTACTGTATGTTCTTCTTTGTTTATGTAAATATGTGCTTATTACAAATTTGACGCCTGCAACATGTTCCAAAAAAGTGTTACATCACTTTCCCTTCTTTCCTTCTGAAAGCAGAATTTGTGCAACACACACATTTGTTGTCATAATTTGAGCTTAATAAGAAAGTTTTTCATTGGGATCCCACCTTCCTATACAGTCGATATATTGTGTATATAATATATATATATATATATATATATATATATATATATATATATATATATATATATTATATATACACAATAATATATATGCTATTATACTATAGACTCTTCTAAGACCCAACCCCTCTTGAACATGTTAGCAAAATGAATAATACATTAATATCAAAATAAGTGAAAATGAGTAGTAACTTTTTTTGAAAACTTGAGTTTGATTTAACTCTTGTTATCTGTATTTTCAACAGATTTTGAGCATTTTGATACTATACTACTTGATACTAATAACATTTTGCTTATGGATTGTATTATTTCAATTGAAACATTTGGCACAAAATTCCATTACTCCTTGACTCATCCTTTCTCATACAGAACTAGGCCTTTCCTGGATGCTCCTTTTAAATCCAAGCATTTCTGCTGCACCTGTTCAAAATATATCAATTTCTTGTTTTAAACTGCCCCGTCGCAAACTTTTTTGGAATGTGTTGCAGGTATTAACCTCAAAATGAGCGTGTGTTCACAAATAAACACAATGAAGTTGACAAGGAAACCATTATATATCTTGTCTTTGTACGTTTCATTCAAATACAAGTCAAAGTGCATTTATAAATCACTGCTTCCAATTTGGCAAGCGCTAGAAGGGTCTGGGTTTGATTCCCCAGCCAGGCGCCCAGGGTCTTTTCTGTGTGGAGTTTTCCCTGTGTCCTTGTGAATTTCCTCGGGGTACTCCGGTTTCCTCCCACAGTCCAAAGACATGCAGTCCGGCCAATTGGACACACTAAATTGACCCTATGTGTGAATGGCTTCAGCTTCCCGTTTTTTATTTGCATTTAACTTGGAATTAAGTTTGTATTACAAATAATAATAATAATAATAATAATAATAATATTAGTTGCTGATGAAACTAAAACTATGGCTCACCCACACAGTCCAGAACCTGCTGACCACAGCTTAATGACATGCACTTCTGTGTCAGAAGCAGTTTCTGACAGAGTGCAGCCGTTAGCTTCCTGCTGCTGCAGTTCAGACGCCAGGTAGTTATGAGACAGAAAGAGAGACTGCAGGTGACACACACTCGGCATGCTGGGATCTGTGATCCGGGACGAGACAAGAAAAAAAAGCCACAAAATATCAATGCACAAACCATTACCATGTTATGTTATCTGGTTTTGGACAATGAATATGTTAATACTATTACCAGAACAAACCACTAAACCACTGCTATAGTAATGAATTGAACTGAATTGAATAAACTTTATTTGTCCCCTAGGGGCAATTAAAACTGGGCATATAACATAAAAGGACATTCTTCATAGATAAGATAAATAAATAAAATACACAGTAAGTACAGCCTTCATGTTGTGTGACCTGAACAACACAGGCAGTAAAAAACCCACAGTAAAACATATGCATCTTACAGAGGTCCATGTGTTTCGCTTCCAGCCATACATGTGTGACTGTGTGTCAGTTTTGCTGTGGCCATAAGCAGTCATTACTGCAATGCCATCCTCCCGCAACATCAGGTTTGATACGACTTCAAATCGTGAGCCTTTCACTATATAAAATTATATGTGTCAGTGTGTATGACAGCATATTGCTGTATGTATGTGTGACTGTGCATGTATGACTATGAGCCCCATACTTAGCCTTTTTTCTTCAGCTTCGTGTGCAAATCAGTTTATAAGCCGAGTCCATGGTAAAGTGGAAAATTTGTTTCTTTCCTTCGTGCATATGTAAAAACTCATGGCAGGATGGAGCAAAAAGTGGGTGGATATTACACATGTAGTTATACTACTAATTTTACTAACATTTGAGCAAACCATGGTGGCCGGTTTTGCGCTGATTTTTTCTCCGCCTTTTAAAACCAGGTGTAAACTTGTGTTAATCCCATGTTAATCCCATTTCACCCCTTGCCCCTACCTTTTTTTTTACCTTTTTTTATTTTATTTAAAATATTTAATTTTATTTAAAACATCTCGTTTACGTGAGCTTGTGTGTATGTGTGTGGTCTCACCCTCTCCAAGACGGAGGTACACGCGGTTGGCTCGTGCAGAGTGTGTGAGGGAGGTGATGGCGGAGTGCCGTTGCAGAGTCCACTGCAGAAGAGCTCGAGCACGCCAGGGCAGTGTGGGAATGGAGTGGACACGCGCTGGCACATTGCCCAACTTCACCGTGGAATTAGCAGACACCTACAACAACATGTACAACAACATGTATAAATGATTTGCATGCAGCAGGAAGGAGAAAATGCACTTGAATGTGTCAAATTAATTGCACTGTTTATATTCTATATTATTATTGTCTATATTTCACTACTGTATAAACTTCAATATTTTTTGTGTATTTTTAGATGAAAAGTACCTCAAAGAAATAGCTCATAACTCACTCATTCACTCACATACTCAAGTTAAGCAGGCGGAAAATTCTCCACAAGGGGGCGCAATTAGTGGTCAAATACAGTCGCATGCAAAAGCTTAGGCGCCCCGGTCAAATTACATTTTTTGTTGATTTTATACCTAAAAATAAGTTAAAAGATTTTTAGAGAACATACTTCTGCACATTTTAATGCACAACTACTGCTTACTTGTTTACTTGTTTAATATAAAAATAAACATAAAATGTGGACACTGTAAGAGTTATGGCTCATTTTATATATTATGTTTTAGTTTTCCAATATGATAAACTCAGCAAATCAATATAATATGTACACTAAAATTTGTAGAAAAACATGCTCTCTGTAGAGGATGTTTTAACTTATTCTTACTTAGAAAACCAACAAAACATGTAATTTGACTGGGGGCGTTCAAACCTTTGCATACCACTGTAGCTTGTGAGGCTTCTTAAGAGTAGTGCTTCACATTAGTGACTCTCAGTGCCCTTGGTAAAAAATTATTTTGAATAGTAGCAAATTGTAAAATTGAATCAATATGAAAGTTGAGAGTTTATGATGGTCAGAATCTTTTTCTTAAAGAATCCTGATTGCAATAAAATCCCTGTAAGCTTGGTCATTTACACGTCTAAAAGGTTGGTTGGATGGGTGAGTGAGTGAACAGAATCTGCTCAGTTCAAAGCCATCTTGCTAATTTCTACAGTTTTTCCAATAGGCATTCATGTGGAGCCTGAATGGAGCCATTAGTAGGACAGAAAGATTTATTTACAGTGCAACACTCCAGTACACACACACATAAACTCTTTGCACTGACACACTCATTAGCAGCACAGACCAACCTGAACCAGCACATGGAGCATCTCTGGCAGTCCCTCATTCTCTAGAACCCAGCGCACTGCATACTGGGAACTCAACACCAGTATGACTGGACGACTGACTGGACGAGAATAAGATAATGGTCTCAACACTACTGTCACCTACACACACACAGAGAGAGAGAGTGAGTGAGTGAGAGAGAGAGAGAGAGAGAGAGAGAGAGACAGAACTAAATAACTTAAAGGTACAATACTCAGTATTTCACTGGATGAATGGATGAATGGGAGAACAGAATAAATAGATAATTATGCAAGCACAGATACTATAGACAAATGAACGGATGAGCAGACAGACATACAGACAGACATACAGGTAGATAGAGAGAGATATACAAATAGAGAAATAGAATGTAACAATACAGCATACTGTATCATATCGTATTGTAGCATATTGTTGTGTCATGACTAGCATGTGAGCTCCTCGCTAGGGTTTTAGGCTTGAGCGTCGGAACACTATAAAGCAGCTTTTGTTTTAAATGCACTAAGAAAAAAGAAAATAGAAACATTAACAAATTAATACAGCACATTTTCAGACACTCTTTATTTTTTGCTGTATTATTAAACATATCGTACCACACTGAATTCTGAATTTTGTGAATCGTTAGACCCCTGATAGACAGACAGACCAACATAGATAGATAGATAGATAGATAGATAGGTAGATAGATAGATAGATAGATAGATAGATAGATAGATATTGTCACTGTGGAACAAAACTTATCTCCATTTTTGTCATTTTGTCATAGCAACAATATATCATACCAGCTTTCCAGATCTGTGATTGGCGCTTCCCACAGCGATCACATGAGTTTCTTTAGCCCCGCCCTCTCTGGCAGCACAACCTGGCCCAGCCTCAAACCGCTCCAGCTGAGCCTGGACAGGGTGCAGCACCCCCACAGGAGACACAGCACACTGCAGCTTCTCACCACCTACACACACACACACACACACACACACACACACACACACACATCACCTTACCCCAAGCATGACAAATCAGAGCTCCAAACCACATCTTCTCACACCCTCAGCCCAACTCTCAGGGCTAAACCAGCAGAGTTCAACCTGTGCCACTTGTGGAGATTTACAGAAGTTTAGTTTCAACCTTTATCTAACAAAGCTTGCTTTATATGTTCAGATGACCTGTATTAGCTTGGCCAGCAAGTCAGAGTCGACTCTGCAGGGTTAAACATTTCCACAAGCAGTGATTCCAGATAAATAACATGGTTTACCTCACTGGGCACTAGAATGTTCTGTGGTAATGGACAGTGAGCGTGTGTGCAGCTGAAAACCAACAGGACTGTACAGCCCAGACAGAAGCATGACATTTGCTGAAAGTGAGTAGAAATACACACTTAGGTGTTTGTGAAACTGCGCAGTGAAATGCTAATCCATTCTCACACATACACACGCTCTGTCACTGACTCACACACTTCAACAGACACTCTCGAGGTGTGTCTGGCAGCAGAGTCTCGTTCGTCTTTCACACCACGTTCTCCTGTTCTGGCCTGACCTCTCGGACATCTGGCTGAAATATCAGAACGCCACGTGCTTAGCTAACCTGTGGTCAGGTCCATCAATTAAGGTAACACAGTCAATGAAGAACATAAATGAAAGTAAAATATTTGAAATAATCTACTTAAAGGTGTGTTTTTGTCACATAATCAGTGTTATGTTGGGATAAACACATGAAATATAAGACTAACTTCACTGGCTTCAGCTGTGAAGTTTTAACACTGCTAGCTAGCTGAGCATTTCTGTTTGTCACAGAGTAGATGAACCTCTCTAACAACATATTATTGTTCTGCCTGTTTCATCATTATGCTGGTATATATTGCAGTGTAACATCAGCCATGCTACAGTAGCTATTGGTGTCGGCTACAACGTCATTATCTTACCCAGCTAAAACAACAGATGACATTTATACCTAAAAACCTTGTTTACACACACACATAAAAATATATACACCTGTTCTACCCTCACAGAGTGACCATAGAAGATAAATCTAATAGGAAATTAATACTTTAAATGTAGGTATTTTTTTTTAATTTTTGTGTACTACATTTTCACATTAGGTTGACAGATATTTTAGCAAGAACAGCTATAAAAGGATGCATTTGTGGGTAGAAAGGCCAATTACAGTCAACATGGCTGCCACTCATAACTTAAGAATCAGTTAGTTTGAATTGTTGTCCATGTAGTTACTGAATAATTTTGGTCCACAACACACAGTTTATAGGCTGTGTGCATGGTTAAACACAAAATGCACTTCAATTTGAGGGACTGCTGTGGTAAACCTGGGAGCATTGTGCAAAAAGTGGGTGGAGATCTTACATGTATGGTCTATTACATACAGGGTGTCCCAAAAAAATTGACATCAGATCGTAGTCTAATAACATAGCCAATTCTCCCTCATATTTTAATAAAATGTGTAAAAACTAACCAAGTTTAATTTGTAATTTTTTTTTCCAGGTTGAAGAACGGTGTTTACTAGAAATGAAAAGGCATTTTGTGTGTTAGAATATGCTCGGACACAGTCAAACAAGAGTGTGCAGTGTGCATTTTCGAGAACATTCAACAAAAATGCACCAACTAGAAAGCAGATTTGGACATGGTGCAAAAAATTCAAAGAGGAAGGCTGTCTGTGCAGGACAAAGGGATCTGGATGACCACCAGTATGGGAAGATATTACATTTGTGAAGCTTTGTGAAATCAGTTAAAAAATCTACATCCCTCTGAATTTCTTGTTCGAATTTTGATAAATAAATCTTGTATTTTTCAACATTTAATTTCGTTTGCCGAGGACGTGTAGTTACTCTGATATCTCAAATGACATCAGTTTTTTTGGGACAACCTGTACATTTTACATAAAACAGGAGTAAAAGCAACTTGGCAATTTTCCTCCACCTTTGAAAACTAGCAATAAATTCACAGTAAGGTCTTAAACCGGAGAGGCTTTCTTTAACAATATCAGCAGACACGGGGGTTAGATGGAGGCATAAGGCTTGAACACATGCTGAAAGAACGCTTACCATCAGAATATGCTGTGCTGCAGGGCAATATGCTAGCGCAGTCTGTGTTATCGGTTCACAAAGTCTGTTTTCTTGGCCAGAGTTAAATAACACCCCTGTAGATTGTTCTAGTGGGAATGAACTTCATTTAAGAGCACTGTCTCTTCGTCACTTTCATTTTCTCTTTTGTCTTGAGCTTGTTGAAAGCCCCATTATTTCACTGCGCCCTTTTAAGGCCATCTTGCAGCTCACAAGCGCACAAGTAGTGGGGGAGCTATGTGTAGTTTGTATGTTAAACAGCAGTCTTAATAAATTAAATGTTAAATCCAGCTCATTGTGGGTGCATATTGTGGTTTCATCTGTGCACATTTTGCATTGTACCTGCTTTCATACATACATCTGGCCCAGAGCTTTTACTGCCTCATACCTGAAGATCCTGCCCCGAACAGAAGGAGGCAGAGCAGAGCGCATCCTGACAAGAGTGTCATCTTCACGTTTATCCAGAAGAGTTCAGCTTCAGAGAATGCCTCCTGTTACATGCTGAGCAGATACCAGCACACAGTCAGAAGAAGACAAAGAGCATTTCATCACGAAACCATACATTCCCAAAGTTCAAGAAAGAAAAACGTCCAGAATGTGTAGAACACAACTCTCATCTCTCTTTCTCTGTCTTACACATACACAAGCAGGGGGGCAAATAGAGATGTTTATATGGGAAGTGGAGACAAAATGAATCTCACTTGGATTGCTGTTGTTCATAACGAAACCTTACATTCCAAAGACTGAAGAAAAAAACTGAAACAACAAAGTCTGGGATGTCTACAACACAAGACTCTTTCTTTCTCTTTCTCTCTGTCTGTCTCTCTCTCGCTCTCACATACCCCCACAGATGCACACAAGACAAAACAGAAGGATTTACAGGGGAAAAGCTGGCCGCAGACTCAGTAGTGAACCGTGACTATTAGAGCCAGGCCTTCAGTTCAGACCATAAATATCCAAACTCATATTAAATTTATAAATACATCTAAAAAAACACACACACACACACAAACCTTTACGATAATGCTAACTTCTGCTACAGCACATGCACATTTTCTGGACGTTCTGCATTAACATGGACATTTGAAAGCCGACATTAATATGATTTATTTGAAGCGTAAATCAGACGATGACATATTTTACATTTGTATGTTACAGTGTCACTCTTTCAGAGCCCTGGCATAGATAATTTCTAAGTGACTGAAACTTGGTTAGGCTGGCTTTACACATTGAAACCTACATGCAACAAAACTGTACGGGTTGCATAATGTAACACATCCTGTAATTCACCTCCTGACGGCAAGAGCCCAATTGGCTGTTCAACTAGATGCCAAAATCTGATTAGACAGTTTTCGGTCGGGCATTTCAAGATTTTAAACCAAACAAATCTTAACAATGAAATAAGAGTATTACTACAATACTTAAAGAGTTTATATACAACTAGTAGAATCACTGTGATAAATAAAACAGCCATTTAAAGTTTCCTGAAATCATTAGGCCTTCTCATTCTCCATCTACTGCAGTTCATTCTAATTTATTTCAGTGAAGCTTATGCTTATGGCCCAATCCTGCTCCTAAAGTCCCAAAGTATTACATATCTGTCATTTTCCTGTAAGAGATAAGTACAGAAGACTAAATCCATATTCAATGTAATGTATTGTTACTCATGTGACACAATGTGTACAAAAGTATCAGGTCCAAAAACTTCTAAAGTACCCCTCCTGAGTTCCCTGTAGAACTGGTGTGAACCTTCTACATCCAGCACCTATCAGCATAAGAACTGGCACTATTCTTCTCCTTTTGGAAAGCCTCAAAATCAGAGATGACAGCAACAGAACTGAATAAAATAGGAATTATGAATAAATAAGCAGGACTAAAATGAAGCTGTGGATAAAACAGATTCCCTTATTCAAAAATAATTTTGAGTAGAACTTTAAGAATTATAATCTGAAATGAGAACAAAAGATCAAAATTGTACTAATTCCAGCAATTTCTCAAACTCTATGTGTGATAAGTGAGTTGAAGCCAGAGGTAAGTTAGTCTAGTTTACTGTCACACAGAAGCAGACATCAGATTGTAATGAGTTAAGTAATTAAAGGGAGAAAAGAGAGTGCAAGGAAAAGCCAGTCTCTTGGGGTTAGCCATTAGCTATGGAGACTAGCCAGCTTTCTGTGTGTAGCACTCCTCACTCAGCCAGCTGCTTCAGGCAACACCACGGTTTTGGCCTACAAGCCGAGAGGTTCCACAGCTTATCAGCTAATACTGATAGTATAAATGGCTTCTAATATTTACTAAATTCCAGCAGCATCTGACGGTTGTAGTATAATGTCGTATATCAAGTGTAAGAGACGCACATATGAGACAAATGACTTTCAGGCGTTAATTCTGCACAATTTTTGCCAGGCTCAGAGAAGCTGCTGTGCAGAGAAATTTGCTGACTTGGAATTCTTTACAGTGGTGGTGAATGGAACCAGGGGTCTTAATGTCTACAACACAAATACAGCTATTTTATTTACTCTCCAAAACCAGTAGTGAACCTACACAGACTCTTCTGTGTTTTTATCTGTAATGTTCATAATGGTAAAATAGTAGTAAATCTGAAAAAATAAGTTTTCCTTACAATGCTCTGCATATATCTCTCTGCCAGAAATGGACTAAATATACGTTTTAGGCCAAAATCCTATTTCAAAACTATCATAAAACAACATCTCAAGACATCAGGCAGCGTATTTGTAATCATTTCATGTAATAACATTCTGGGAGACGATTTATAAAAGTTAAAATAGGTTTTAGACAAGGAAAAAATTAATATGTACAATACAGGGCAACAATAGGAGTAGGACTGTGAAACACTATGTTAAGTATGTTAAGGAGAGACCATCTACTGAAGATATGCCATACTAACTGCAGTACAGGAGGCAGAGGCACCAGTAATAATTTGGCCCTCCTTTAATGCATGGGCCCCTTGCCTCACCTCATTAGTGGTTGGTATAGTGTACTGGCGCAGGCTGGGGTTCGATTCCCAACACACTACAATCAATTAATGAATCCTTTTAACACTTCGGCAATGCAACAGTCCTTCTTAATGCAAGAACAAATTGTAATTTGCTCTGCATAAATCCAAATATCATTTCCCAAAATTCCACTCCACTCTTTTGTTTGAGCTCCATAATTCCAACTTTTACTCAGCATGCAGCAAACTGTGAATATGACTATAGGCAACATGACTGCATATCAATATACTGTATTTAACGGGCTCACATGGTAATGTTTATCACTTAATGCTTAAATTAATATTTTAATTAATAAGTTAATGCACAATTCTATCATTAACAGTTTGTGACTAAATTTGGACAGATACATTACTCAAAGTCCACTAAAATTTCCACAAACATACTCCTATAGCCATCCATATATCATGAAATCCAGTCATTTACTACTCTGCCTTCACTTTAAACTTTTACATTTCAGTGGTCAATGGCCGAGGTCAAGTAAACAGGACTTGGACAGTTGTTATGTTGATTAAAATGCTATAAATGTTGCAATATAACATGGGTTTGGCTTAGACAGCTCCGTCACATCATCACCATTTGAGAAGTGCAATTACAATAACATAAGCTTCCTGTCTATTAACAGCTAACGTATACCTTGATAACCCACCTTTGAATTAAAAATGAAATTCTCATTTTGTGACCGGGCTAAACCACTCAGTGTTTACACACTGGAGGGGTGACAGAATGCATTGTTGTTGCCACTTTATGTAAAACTAGTTTTTGTTTCTTATTATTTAATAAAAGAAGCATTTCAATTAATAATATTTAATTATCACATGCAAAAGTGCAATACTGGAATAAAATCACAGTATATTAACATACATTCACATTAACTTTTTTTCCTATAACGCTGCCATTTCAGACATATGAAGTTTTCTTACAACAGCATTGGCATGTTTTTCCTCAAGTGTTTATAGTCTTTCACATTGCTTTAGAATGACATACACTACATGGACAAAAGTATTGGGACACCCCTCCTAATTATTGCATTCAGGTGTTTCAGCCACAATCATTGCTAACAGGGGGATAAAATCAAGCACATAGCCTTGCAAGCTTGACAGATAAACACCAGCAGTAGAATGGGTCGCACTGATGAGCTCAGTGACTTTAAACATGGCACTGTCATGGGATGCCACCTCTGCCACAAGTCAGTTTGAGAAATTTCTGTCCTGCTAGATCTGCCCCTGACAACTGTAAGTGCTATTATTGTGAAATAGAAGCATCTAGAAGCAACAACAGCTTAGCCACAAATGCGGGAGACCACGCAAACTCAAAGAGAGGCCAGCGAGTGCTGAAGCGCACAGTGTCTATCCTCTGTTGAATCACTCACTAAAGACTTCCAAATTGCCTCTGGGAGCAACAGCAGAAGAACTACACATTAGAAGCTTAACGAAATGGATTTCCATGGTTGAACAGCTTCACACAAGCCTAAGATCAAAATGCACATAGCTAGGCGTCAGGGGGAGTAGTGTAAACATGCCGCCACTGGACTCTGGAGCAGTGGAAATGTATTCTGGGGAGTGACAAATCACGCTTCTCTATCTGGCAGTCTGATGAACGAGTCTGGGTTTGTTGACTGCCAGACGAACGTTACCTGCCTGACTGCACTGTGCCAATTGCAAAGTTTGGTGGAGGAGGGATAATGCTATGGGGTTTTGGAAAATTGCATGCTTCTAACTTTGTGGGAACAGTTTAGGGAAAGCCCTTTGCTGTTCCAGCATGACTGAGCCGCAGTGCACAAAGCAAGGTCCATAAAGACTGGGTGAGTTTAGTGTGGAAGAACTTGATTGGCCCTCTCAGAGCCCTGACCTCAACCCCATCAAACACCTCTGGGATGAACTAGAACGGAGATTGCAAGTCAGGCCCTCTGATCCAACATCAGTGTCTGACCTCACAATGATGAATGGACAAAAATTCCCACAGACACACTCCAAACTCTTGTAGAAAGCTCCCCAGAAGAATGGAAGCACAATTTGGATACATTTGTACTTTACTGAGTATTTTTAAATGATAAAATCTTCCTTACACTATAAAGTACAGTTTAGTACGTTTCTGAATAAAGGAATCCTCCTTCTGTTTGGTTTAGCTCATAAATTCAGTCTTCTCTGTTTGGACTCACTCCCAGACACCCCTCACTTTGGAGCTTTCACATTTTATTTTGGACCTGAATGAACCCAAAAAAGAGAATAACAGAGCCAAAACAAACAGAACAAACTTTAGTTCCTTTGCTGATAGATGCTGGATGAACTAAATATCCCAGAGCTTGGAGAGTTTTTGGATCTGACACTTTCTTCTCCACTTGGTAGCTACTTATATGTCTACTTGAGTCATTACTCAAAGAAGTAACAGTACATCTACTGTAGTCTCATTCACCCACCTCTGCTGGCGCTCTGCAGCGTGTGTAGTAGTGAGTGAAGCTTAGTTCTAACGAACGGTCCACG